TAGTGCCTGCAGGTATGCAAGTGCAGTCATGTTGTACAATGCCCTTGGGAGCCAGAAGAGGGTGTTGAATCCCCTGGAATTGGAAGGGAAGGTTGTTAGCTGCCATGTAGGTGCTGGGAATTGAACCTGGGTCCTTTGCAAGAGCAGTCAGTGCTCTTAACTGTTGAGCCATCTCTCCAGCCCCCTTATGTAATTTTTCTTTTCTTTTTTTTCCCTTTTTGAGACAGTGTCTCCCCGTAGCCCCAGCTAACTTGGAATTGGCTATGTAGACCAGGCTGGCCTTGATCTCAGAGATCTGCCTGCCTCTGCCACCCAAGTGCTGGGATTAAAGGCATGCCCCACCAAGTCTGGCAGTACTTTCTTGATATAAACACGGAAGATGGGTGTCTACCTCTTCACAAACTATTTACTTTAATTGGTTGAGATATCTGTCATTCTTACTTTATTTTCCTTTCAAATTTACAGCCTAAAATGACAAATTGACATTTTTATATATTAACACATTCAACCCTCTTAAAATCTTTTTGAAGTACAGAAACTATTGCTTTATTTTTTATTTTATTTTGCATTGTACTGTATTATTTTATTTTACTTTTGAGAGAGGGGCTCATCTATCCCAGGCTGGCCTCAAACACACTATATAGCCAAGGATGTCCCTGAACTCCTCCCTCCACTTCTGAACTAGGGCTACAGGCCTGAACTGTCAACAACCACCCTAAAGTGATCACTTTATTAAATGTGAAAATTCAGGTACCTAAAGGTCAAATAACTTGCTCACGATCTCACTCTTTATTTGGTATAATTCTAAATACAATCTATACTCTTAAAATGGCTACTTTGTCTCCTTATAATGGTAACAACAATAATAATAATAATAATAATTGTCTGACCATTCTGGCTGAGTAAGGAGAAATTAAAGAGTTTCTTACTATTTTGAATGCCAAATAAAAACATTCCTGAAGTCTGCTGAGATGAGCCCGGAGAATTCTGTAGTTGGTTCATTGCACCTCCTGTGGTGTTGTGAAATAAAGAAGCCTGTGGTTGGGGTGAAGATGTAGCTCCTTGGATTCCAGGCATGTTGTTCTGAGGGGAATACAGAGGAGACTGCTGCATGTCTTGTTGGTTTATACTGGTCTGCAATGCAGACATGGATGCTGGAGAGAGGAAGAGTGTTACTTGCTGCTCTTGAGAACTAGGTGACCCTTGTACCAACTGGATCTGAGGGGAGCTATGGAACAAAGAGGTCTGTGCTGACTCAGACTGGGCAGGACCTGGGTTCTGAAGTGAGGAAACTGTAGGCGGATTCTGAAATTGCATAGGCTGCTGCTCTTGATTCATTGGGGTCATACTACTTTGCTGGCGAAAAATGGACTGGTTCTGTTGCTCTTGATTAGACAAGGGATTTTGGTTTGGGCTGAACATCATGTTTGGTGGTGGCTGCTTTTGAGATGCCATTGTAGCCATGGTATTCTGATTACTGAATAAAATGCTTTGCTGCTGCTGCTGCTGCTGCTGCTGCTGCTGCTGTTGCTGTTGTTGTTGTTGTTGCTGCTGCTGCTGCTGTTGTTCCTGGGATGGAGAGTTACTCTGCATGCCAACTATTGAGTGCTGTGATTGGAAAATTGCTCCTTGCTGGTTCTGAGGCATTGGATTAGGCGGAAGGGAGCCCAGGGACACCTGAGGCTGAAATAAACCTTGCTGAGAGGGTTGTGCCTGCTCTTGGGAAATAATAGGGGTCTGGATGTGTGAGATTGGAGGCTGCTGTGGAAAAGCAGCTTGCTGCTCAGTGTTTGATGCTGACTGAAGTGGAGAAATTGAGTTCTGAGCTGCAAAAAACGAAATCTGTTCTTCTTGGGCTACTGTGTTAGTCTGAAGATTATTCATAGGACTCTGGGAAAGAAATATGTTGGGTGACTGCTGGTCTTGTGGAACTGAAGAGCCCTGTAACACAGCAATGGTACTCTGAGAGTGAAACATTGGAGGCTGCATTTGTTCAGAGGACCCTGTGGAAGTCTGACTGTGGACAATAGGGTTTGGATTATGAAAAATTGAGCCTTGAGTTTCCTGGGAAAGGTTCTGAGCATCAGCAATAGGATTCTGAGGATGAAAGAGCTGAGCCTGTGAATGAGAAGACTGCTGCAAGAAATTCCCAGACTGAAGTGACATTATCTCATTCCCCTGCTGGAACAGACTGTTACCTTGTTGCTGAGTACCACTATTCTGAACACTCATCATACTTTTTGAAGATGAAAAAAGGTTTACTTGGGGTTGACTGTCCCCGCTATGTTGCATTTGGACTATGGTCTGAAAGACACTGTTCTGAATCTGTTTGGCTTGTGTTCCAGTTTCTTCTCCATCTCCCGAACTTGATGTCTGAAACATAGAAGAGCCAGGGGTTGCAACCTGGGGTGTGGAGGTCGTTGAAGTTTCGTTTCCAGAAACTGCAGGGGGAGAAGAAAACAGTTCACACTGCATTTGCATGTCCTCATTGGTAGACAGTGCGCTCATCATGTGAGAAGGCTGCTGGTAGACTGGAGACTGCTGGAGGTTGCCATTTGCTGCAGCAGTGGAAGGAAATAATTCTGACTGAATCTGGGCCGCTGCCTGGCAAATACTCTGCTGCATCTCCATCACCATTGCAGCTGACGGTTCCATCACTTGCTGCTGCTGTTGCTGCTGCTGATTAGACAAGGTGTTTTCAGTCTGAGGATGGACACTTTCAGCCCTTCCGGGTATTAAATTATCTGGTCTGCTGTGGACTGTAGGCTCTGTTGAAGAAAACATCCCAGAGCTTACACTATTTTGAATTTGACTGACTTGTTGGAAAATGTCTGCACTAAGCTGTTCTTGAACATTCTCATTACCATCTGGAGCAGAAAACAAAACAGAAGATAACTGTTGTTGTGCCTCTAAAACCTGTTGAACCAAGTCAACACTTCCACTGCTGCCACCAGCAGAACTGCCAGTAAAACTTCCTGCTTGCAACTGCTGAATAGTGCTCTGGAGCTGACTCACACTGTTCGGTGATGGGAAGATATTTGATGAAATCTGCTGTTGTAATGTCTGTGCTTGTTCTTGGAGCGGAGATTGCTGCTGCTGTTGCGATGCCTCAGTCAACTGTGACAAATTAACCACTGTACCATCTGACTGCAATACTTCTCTAGACTGAGCCTCTCGTGTTTGAAACTGTGTAGCCTGCTGTAGTAGTACATCACTGCCGGGCAGCTGACTAGAGGCAGAGACTGCTGGAAAGGTTCCAGGCTGTGAGATGTCTTGTGTCTGGATGGTTGTCAGAGTCTCTGGGTTGTATGCCTTGGGCTGAAGCTGCTGCTGCTTTTCACTTTCAGAAGGTAAGTGGGAAGATGACGGTGATGAGAAAGACCCATTTCCTGCTATGTTAGAAATATTTTCTAAAGTTTGCGGAGTTGATCCAACTGTCTTTGTAGTCTGAAAGAAAAAAGTTCCAAATAACATGTATAAACATTAAACAATTGCATATGCTACTTAAAAGTCACTTAAAAAAATACATGCTGAATCAACTGTCCATTCTACACTAGCGATTAGAAACGAGTACAAGACTAGGACTCTCTATAACATGGTATCTTACTTTCAGTACTGTAAGGATAATCAAGGAAATAGAAGGGTAATCAGTTATTGATAGGCTTTGTGATAAGAGAACATTAATATATGGTCTGTGTGTAGCCACGTTCAAACACTTCCATTTTGTGATCATCAGTAACATTGCAATGGAGAAAACCAAGTCAAAAGTGGAGGGTTACAGGGCAGGACTGGGGAAGAAAGCACAATCAAATGATTCTACTTTTAAAATGCTAAAATTAATATTTTAATTACATTAATAATTTTGGGGGCAGGGTCTTTCTGTATAGCCAAGCTGGCTTTGAACTCACTCTACTGCCTCAGCTGCCAAGATCAACCTGTGGGACCTTCATTAGTACTCACAGGTATTATCAATTCCTTCTCTTGTCAAAATGTACAAAGTTACTTTGTAAGCAATTTTACTAAAGTATAAAGCACTTACGCTGAAAAGCAAAATTCATTAAGCATAGCCAATGTAAAACAAATGTCAAAAAAGAGGTAAATATAGCAAAAATTCTGTATGTAAGGTAAAGATTTGGGGTACAAGTTAATATACCTCACCTGAAAAATAGGGGAAGATCTTTTCTCTGCTGTTACTTCCATTGGAGTAATGTCTTCAGTCTTAATCATACTGCTTGATATGAGTGGGGTGATCAGGGCATTAGGAAGAGTGCTCACCTTACCTAAGTTACACCCAGTAGTTTTCATTGCTGCACACAGACACACACACAAAAAGAAAGGTTGGAAATCATAAAAACAATCTTTTTTGTTTGAAATAGTGTCTCACTATGTAGTCTAGACTGGCCTCAAACTTGTAAGCTTCCTGCCTAAGCTTCAACTTCCGTCATTTCCTAGTTGGGTGGACTTGACCAAATCACTTAACTTGCTAAGCCCCAGCTTATTAACCTATAAAATAATCTAAAGACATAAAATGGACTTTTTTTTTTCAGTGTTAGGGACTGAACCCAAGGCGTTGTTCATGTAAGACCAGTACTATACCACTGAGGCTAGATCTCTAGCCCCTCACCTTTAAAATGAGACTGTATCAGATTACCTTCATGGTTCCTTGAGGTGCCTAACTCTGGTCACATAGTTACAAACAGTTAGAGACAATTACATGCTCTCAACTACTTCTCCTATTTTCAGTGAAACATCTCATACACAGAGACAGAAAGAATGCACATCAATACTCACCATAGGTCCTAAACATGAACTAGTTATTAAGCAATCTGTTTACACTGAAATCTACAGGTAGTGATGTAGATACTGAAAACCACCTAGAAATATTCCCAAGAAACTGTTAATAGTGTACACTACACATTTATTGTATTTGACTTACATTGCTTTTGTGTGAAAAATACACATAGTGTAGAAAAGCTTACTTTAGGGGGAGAGAGCTTCAAGATGAAATGACACCATCATTTTTGAGTATCAAGATCTAAAAAACCTTAGTGTAATTCATGGCTGTTTTTAAGAATGATTCTTAGCCAGGTGTGGTGGCATACGCCTTTAATCCCAGCACTTGGGAGGCAGGCAGATCTCTGAGAGTTTGTCAGCCTGGTCTACAGCGATTAAGTTGCAGGCCAGCTGGGGTTACCAGGAGACCCTGTCTCAAAAAGACAAAAGTAATAATAATAATAGTAACAACGATCCTTAAAGGATTATTGTCGTAACACAAATTTATAAATTGCCTATGCTGTACCTTGACACTAAACTAAAGTTCTGATTTCAAGAAATCATAAAAATAAGCCATTTGGGCAGGAGAGATGGCTCAGCAGTTAAGAACACTGACTGTTCTTGCAGAAGACCTGGGTTCAAATCCCAACACCCACATGGTAGCTAACAACTGTCTGTAACTCTAGTCCCAGGGGATCTGACAGCTTCTCCTGTCCTCTGCAGGCATTGCATGACACAGGCGCACTTACCTACACACAAGCAATACATGCATAGACATAAAATGATTTTTAAAATATTAAAAATTAAATAAATATTAATAAATAAACATTAAAAAAAAAAGCCATCTGTCAAGGAAAATTCCTGGTTCTGAAGCTATATTCAATTTCTTTTTTTTCTTTTTAAAGCCCGTCACAGCACAGGTGCTATTTCTGTGTTGCCAGTGGAGAAACTAAGTCTTCTGGTGGTTGAAAGGTGCTGAATGTTCGTTTTTTAAAGATGAGGCAGTTGTAGCCAGGCGTGGTGGTGCATGCCTGTAGTCTAGCACTTGGGAGGCAGAGGCAGGTGGGTCTCTGTGAGATCAAGGCCAGCCTGGTCTACACAGTGAGTTCCGGGACAGCTGGGGCTACAGGGAAACCCTGCTTCAAAAAGACCAAAAAAAAAAAAGATCAGGCTGCTGTGAACATTAAAGATCAGTAGTGGGTGCTGGGAATCGAACTTGGGTCCTCTAGAAAAGCAGTATATGCTCTTAGTCACTGAACCATTTCTCCAGTCCCCATTATTTTTGTTTAAAATGACAAACCTGTTGGGCATGGTGGCACATGGCTTTAATCCCAGCCTTGAACTCACAGAGATCCGCCTACCTCTGCCTCCCAAGTGCTGGGACTACAGGCATGCGCCACCACGCCCAGCCAATTTATATTCTTATATATAAGATTTCACGTGGGATTGGGTTGTGTTCCACTCAGTCTGATCCTCTATGAATACAGCATTAATGGATGGACTAGTCAGGCTCACACCTATAATCCCAGGACTTAGGGGGCTGAGACAGGAGGACTGTCAGGCATTCCAAGCCAGCCCCACAAAGTGAGACAAACAAACAAACAGGCTAGACTACAAACATCCCAGATGCATTAATTAATTAGGCATTATTCATCCAATAAATATGAACTTATTTGAATGATTTACAGATTCATCTAATGCAGCTGAATTACTTATCTTTTTAAAAAGTATTTCATTATTTTATGTGTATGAGTATATTGCCTGCATGTATGTAAGTGTATGAGAGTTGTACAATGCTCATGGAGGTCAGAAGAGGGTGTCAGATTTTCTGGAATTAGAGCTACTGATGGTTGATGGTTGTAACGGCTGGGAACTGAACCTGAGTTCTCTTCAAGAGCAGTCAGTGCTCTTAGTTGCTGAGCCATCTCTCCAGCTCCACAATTACTTTTCTAACCTGAGCTAAGTGACCTTAGGCAAATTACTTAACTTCTCTGTAGTTCTGGTTTCCTTTGTTATAAAAACAAGAACAAATCATCAACCTCACTAAGCTTGGAAAATTAAATAACACAATTCCTGAAAAGAGCTCAGCATAGACTATCACCCAACAAACATCTATTACCACTGTTCACAGATCTGTGAATATTCCTTATCAGTTTATTTGCTATTACACAGTTTGTCACTAATGTACTCTGGAAAATGTTCAGAGTCAGAAATTACAACAGCAAGCTATACTGAACTACTGTGTAAGTGAATGGTCAGTTTTACTACTAACAAAAATCTTACTGTACAAGGGGCTGGAGAGATGGCCCAGCGGTTAAGAGAACTGACCGCTCTTACAGAGAGGACCCAGGTTCGATTCCCAGCACCCACATGGCGGCTACGAACCGTCCTTAACTCCAGTTCCAGGGGAATCTGAAGCCCTCTTCTGACGCCCATGGCGTTGCATGACACGGGTACACTCACATACATGCAGGCAATACACTTACACACAAAAAATTTAAAAAAAAAATCTTATTGTACTCAATAAAATTTAAGCTTATTATTCCCCTTGAAAAACACAGATAGACATACAATTTTTTTGTGTGTGTGGTGTTGTTTTATTTTGTTTTCTTGAGAAACATGGTCTCCATGTATCCTCAGCTGGCTTGGAACTCACTATGTAGACTGGACTGGCCTCAATCTCACAGAGATTCATCTGCCTCTGGTTCCAAAGCGCTGGGATTAAAGGAGTAGGCTGCCACACCCAGCATATAAAATTTTTCCTCTACTTTAATTCATAGGAATTTAAGAGCAGGAAAATATAAATAAAATCCAGAATTATAAACTCTGTCATTACTAATCTGTATGTTTTTACATAAAGGCACAAAAGCATTATCACTACATTCTGTAACTCTAGAATTCTCTGAGGACTGAATCTGCCCTACTGTATTACATCATCCTTAATAAAACTCACAAAGCTCCTGCCTCAGACACCTGAGTGCTGGCATTAGAGGAATGAATCATCACACCTGGGTCATCACTGCCTTTTTTTTTTTTTTTTTTTTTTTGAGACAGGGTTTCCTGATAGCCCCAGATGGCCTAGAACTATGTAGACCAGGTTGGCCTTAGATTCACAGAGATCTGCCTGTCTCTGCCTTCCCAATGCTGGGATTGAAGGCACCAGGCCTGTTTCCCTACTCTTTTTAATGGGTGGGGAAGAAAATAAACATGTCAAAAGGAAGAATGAATAGATCTAAATGCAACTTTTTCAAATCTCTAAAGTTCCTATTTCAATCTTTTCAGCCTCAATACCAAGTACTAACCTTATTAGAAGCAAGTTTCATAATCTCGATTTTACATTTTCTTCTGTTTTATACACATAACTTTTAAGGGGCTTGGGTTTTAGTTTATTTATCTTGTGTATGTGCGTGGGTGCCTAAGTGCCACCGGCATGTGTAGAGGTCAGAGGAAAACTCTCCTTCCACTATGTGGGTTCTGGAGCCTGAACCTAGGTCATCAGACTTGGTGGCAAGTGCCTTTATCCACTGAGCCAGGTGGCAGACTTTTAAAGGTTTTTAAATGGAGAAATTTAAAAAATAAGAGAAAAGCAAACAAACTCCTCTACTCTAACATATTGGTTGGTATTTTGAGATAGGGTCTTGTTATGTAGCCCATGCTGGTCTTGAATTCATGAGCTCCTGTCTCATGAGTGCTGTGATTACAAACATGCACCATAGTACCTGGTCCAATATTTGTTTTTTTGGGTTTTTTTTTTTTTTTTTTTTTTGTGTGGAGACAGTGTCTCGTGTGTCTGTGTGTCTGTGTCTGTGTCTGCGTGTCTGTGTGTTTGGGACAGGGTCTCCCTGTAGTCCCAGCATACCTGAACTCACTATGTAGACCAGGCTGGCCTTGAACTCACAGTGATCCGCCTGTCTCTGCTTTCTGAGTGCTGGGACTAAAGGCGTGTGCCACCACACCCGACACAATATTTGTTTTATTTTTTTGAGATGGGGTCTCCCTGTAGCTCCAGCTGGAAGGGAATTCACTTTGAGGATCAGGCTGATCTCAGTCTCACAGAGATCCACCAGCCTCTGTCTCCCAAGTGTTGGGATTAAAAGCATGAGCCACCACACTGGGCCCTAATATGTTTTAAGTATGTCTGTATGCTGAATGAAGGAAAATATCAAATTGAAAAACAAGTCTCTACATTCAATAAAGTTAAACAAATATTTATTTTACAATTTGGAAGATACCTTGCTAAGTGTTACAAATACATCAGAGAAAAACACCATTAGGGTTTGCTAATGAACACAGGATGACCTAAGTACAATTTTTGAGAAGAATCAACTTAGTACCTTTCATGGCCTCTTCAAAAGAACAAGGTCTTGCTGGACTAGATATTTCCTTCTTCACATTTACATTCAAAGCTCCAGCTGCTGCTATTTAAAAAAAAAGTTCATGCACTTAAGTTTATTCATCCTGGAAAAATATGTATCTTGACATTCTTTAGCTGGAGTATTTTCTTATGTCACAGGCTGGATTAGTAGAAATTTGAGGCTGAGGCAAATATTATAACCAGAACTCTGTTCTTTAAAACTTACTCATCTCCAAGAAGGCAGAGCTTATGATCACTTATCGAAACAGAAACTTTTAAGAACCTTCTTGTAACACTCTCCATATTGGTAAGGCAGGAATAGAAGACAATACCGGAAGAGCAGACACTTAGAACTTACCAACTATATCAAGCATCAGTAAGAAAAAAAATGTATCATGTACTCTTATAAATTAATGAAAAAGAACCAACTCCAAAACATTAGTCAATCAACATTTAAGCTAAACTAAAACAGCCATGAACACACTCTATCTACGGCATTATTCTTTCAGTAAAACTTTGAAAAAGAATCTTTGTTAGCATGAATAGAGAACTGCAAGACTACCATAGCAATTAAATCTTCTATGACAACTTTAAATTTAATATGCTTATGAACAGAGATCACCTTCCTTCCTTCCTGTCTGTCTGTCCATCCATCCATCCATCCATCCATCCACCCATCTATCTATTTTGGAGACAGGGTCTCACTATGTACTCCCAGCTGGCCTGGAATTCAAGATCAGACTGGCTTCAATCTCATAGAGATCCTCCTCCCGACTCTGCCTTAGGTATGCTGTAATTAAAGGCATGTGCCACCATACCCAGCAAACAGAAATCATTTCTAAATGATCATGTTAAATTGCAAATGAATAGGTGCTGCTTCAGATGTGCATGCTAGGGTTATGTTTTCATGAGTTTGAATTCTTTAGTGTGTATGCGTGTGCGCACACACATGTGCATGTGAAGGCCAGAGGTTGACGTTGGGTATCTTTCTCAATTTTTATTTTTTTAATTATTTTTAAAAATTACTTATATAGTATGTATATATGTAAGTGGGTACAAATATGTTAGTCATCCATGCAGACGTCAGAGGACAATCTGCGAGAATTGATTCTCTCCTTCCACCATGTAGGTTCCAGGTATTGCATTCGCGTCCTCAGGCTTGGTAGCAAGCACCCCTACCCTTTGGAGCCATCTTGCCAGCTCCTCCACCTCATTTTTTGAGACATGGTGTCTAATTGAACTAGAAGCTCATGAGTTTGGCTAGACTAACTGGCCAGTAAGCCTCAGAGATCTTCCTGCTTCCACCTCTCTAGTGCTAGAATTACAGGCACACACCACCACGCCCAGCTTTAAAAAAGTTTTGTTAGTGGGGCATGGTAGCGCATGCCTTTAATCCCAGCACTTGCAAGGCAGAGGCAGGCAGATCTCTGTGAGATCGGGGTCAGCCTGGTCTACAGGGAGACCCTGTCTCAAAAAGACCAAAAAGAAAATTATTTTGTTATATTTATTTTTATTTTATGTGTATGAGTGTTTTGCCTGCATGTATTTAAGTGCACTCATGTATGTAATGCCTGTGGAGGCTAGAAGAGGGAGTCAGAGCCCATAGAGCTGGAGTTACAGATGGTTTTTAGCCACTATGTGGGTGCTGGAACTGACATGGAATCCTGTGCTGCTCTTGAAGCCAAGTACTCATAACCCTTGAGTTATCTTTCCCCATTCCCTCAGAAAAATGTTTTATTTTGCACCCAGTTTTTTTTTTTCAATGTGGGTGCTGGAGACTGAAGTCATGGGGTTTTGGGTTTTTTTGTCTTTTTGAGACAGGGTCACCCTGCAGCCCTAGCTGGCCTGGAACTCCCTATGAAGACCAGGCTAGTCTTGATCTCACAGAGGTCTGCCTGCTAGGAGTAAAGGTGTGTGTCTCCACACCCATACCAGCCCCTAATTTTTTTTTTTTTTTGGTTTTTTTGAGGTCTCCCTGTAGCCCCAGCAGTACTGGAACTCACTAAGTAGACCAGGCTGGCCTTGAACTCACAGAGACCCACCTGCCTCTGCCTCCCGAGTGCTGGGATTAAAGGCATGTGCCACCACGCCCGGCTCAGCCCCTAATTTTTTAAAATTCCTTTTTCTGAGTGTGTATTTATGTATGCGCATGTATGTGGAAGTCAGAGGTCAACCTCAAGAACCATCTATCTTGTTTATTAAGACAAAGTTTCTCATGGCCTAGAGCTTGCTAATTAGAGTAGGCTGGCTGGCCAGCATACCTCAGGGATTCTCACTCTGCAGCCCTGGAACTTGTTATGTATACCAGGCTGGCCTCAATCTCACAAAGATCTACCTGGGTGTTGTTCTTTGTTTTTCTCTTTTTAAAACATTTTTAAAATTTATTATTTTCTTTTTATGTGTATGAGTGTATTACCTGCATGTGTGTAAGTGTACCCATGTTGTGAAATGCCCATGGAGGACAGGTGTCAGATCCCCTGGAACTGGAGTTCTGGATGGTTGTTAGCTGCCATGTGGGTGCTGGGAATTGAACCCAGGTGCTCTGCCAGAGCAGCCAGTGCTCTTAACCACTGAGCCACCTCTCCAGCCCCCTTTGTTTTTCCCTTAACATGGGTTCTGGGAATCAAACTTGGGTCCTCATGTTTGCATAGCAAGCATTTTACAGACTAAGCTATCTCTCAAGCCTGTTAATTAAAAAATTATTACACTTATTTATTGTGTGTGTATGTGTGCACATGCAATGACAAGCATGTGGAAGTCAGAAGACAACTTGTGGGAATCAATTTTCTCTTCTATCACATGGGTCCTGGAGATCAAACTCAGGTCATCAAGTTTGGCTGTGGGCACTTTACTCATGGAGCAATCCTATTGGCCCCAGGGTGTTCATTTTATTTAAAATACATTCTAATTTAAATTTGTCAAGCTTTTTTGTTGTTGTTGAGATGGGGGTCTCTTTATGTAATTCAGGTTGACCTCAAACTGGCAATCCTAATGTCTCAGGCCCTGAGTGCTGGGATTACAAACTGGAATTACCTAGTCTGACTTTCAGTGCATTAAATTTTTAAAATTTATTAGTTTCTGGGGAGGGAGAGTGCACACACTATGGCATGTGTGTGGTCAAAACATAACCTTGGGGAGTCAGGTTGCCAGCTTGTGCCTTTACCTGCTGAGTCATCTCATTGACCCTCGATGTATTTATTTTACATTCATAAATAAATATATCCAAAAAGGGATTTGAATTGATTTACTTTTAATATACTATTCCTGCAAGGCATGGTGGTGCATGCCTGAGGCAAGCGGATTTCTGTAAGTTCAAGGTCAGCCTAGTCTACACAGCAAGTTCTAGGCTGCTGGGGCTACAGGGAGATGCTATCTCAACAACAAAAAAGATTATTCCTCATGACAATATCAAAATATAATCTCTAAATGAGTAAAAGATAAGATTGTATACAACTCCTAAAAATGAATTAAAAATTTATTTGAGTAGAACCTAAATAGCAGGTTCAACAAATTACTTATAGGAAATTAATAAAAAGAAATACATTTAAAAATTCTATGTATGGCATTAAATCTAACAATTAAGATTTAAAGAGCAAAAACTAATCTTTGAAAACATTTAAATTTCGACTTTTAAATTATTAGAAATTTTCAGCACTGTGGCTAGATCACCTAGGGTCTCATCATGCTAGGCAAGCATTCTACCATTGAGCTATGGCCTCAACCCTCTTTTTACTTATTTTGAGACAGGATCTCCCTAAATTGCATAAGCTGCCCTTGAACTTACTGTCCTCCTGTCTCAGCCTTCCAAGTAGCTGAAATTACAGGTCTGTGTCACCATGCCTGGCCAATAATTTGTTTTCAAAACAGCAAAAAATTATAAGAATAAGTATTATAATACCATTTCTATAGGAATCAGCAATGCAGAGCCACAGTAAAGGATGTCTAATGTGCTTTCTGTGTCTGCATAGACTGATGTTAAAAAACAAAAAAATTAAGCTGTTTTAATAGTTCAGCAAAGTTTAGCTATACAAAGTTAGCTATACACATGTGATACATGATTTAGAGCCACACAGCCCCCAAGAGTGTTAGAAGTGCTTATGTCTGGCAGTGTGCACAGCCTGACACTTAAAATCCTATTGCCTCAGCCTCCACAAACATGATGAAATCGTGCCTGGATTCCCCAACCCCTGTGTATGTGTGTGTAAGACTCTGTATGAGTGACACGTGTGTAGGTCAGTGGACAACTTCAGATGTCTTTCCTCAGTAGTCATCGACCTTGTTTTTTTAAGACAGGGTCTCTCACTGACCTGGAGCTCGCCAAATAAGCTAGGCTGGCTGGCCAGCAGGCTCCAGGGATTCTCCTGTCTATGCCTCCTCAGAGCTGGGATCACAAGCATGTGTCTGGCTTTTTATGAAGGTTCTGGGATCAACTCAGGTCCTTAGGTTTGTGAGGCAAGCACTTTTCTGACTGAGCCATCTCCCTAGCCCTCCCCTGATTTTTTGATGCAAGAACATTTCTTTCCCTATCATTGTTCTTCACCTTTTATCTCATGGGATCCTCAACTATTTGGGAATAACAATACAAATAAACTGCAGTTGTAGAACTGCTAATTCCAAAATAGTCTTCATATTAGGATGAACTAAATAATAGTAACTATAGCAGAAACCAAGCCTTAGTCACTACAACCTGCCAATAGTTTTCATTTCCAAAACAAAATGTTCTTCCAACTTCTGTTAGAAGGTTTCTTCTTCTTCTTCTTTTTTTTTTTTTTTTTTTTTTGTTTTTTTTGTTTTGGTCTTTTTGAGCTCTCACAAAGATTGGCCTGCCTCTGCCTCCATGCCCAGCAGAAGAAGGCTTCTTTAGTTATTTAGGGAACCAAGCAAAATAGGCAAATAACTTGTAAGTTACTTTTTGGCTAAATAACATTTTAATTGCTCTTATTGCTCTGATTTCTAAACCATTAAATACTTAAAATTATATTTAAAATTCACAGTCTGATAATTTTGATGTTGTCACTTGTCATTCCAAGTTTTTCTCTTACCTGTCTCAAAATGCACAAGAGGGCAGGGTCAAGATGAGTAGTCAGGCATATGGTTAGTATATTTAAGGCCCTGGGATCAATCCCAATACTACCAGAAAGAAAGACCCCATACACCAGCCAAACTAAACTACTAGCCATTTCCCGGTCAGTTTCATCTTTCTGCATTTAAAAGATATATAATCCAGGCCAGCTGTGGCTACAGGGAGACTTTGTCTCAAAAAGACCAAAAACAACAACAACAACAACAACAAAAACCACAGGAAGGCAAGACATACCCAGACACAACCATCTCACCACTGGGGCTGTGCTGCCTCCTGACCAGCCAGGCCTGGACCCTGAAGAGTCATGAGGTCATGTAGTCAATGCCTGGACTGGACCCTTCAACTACCTGTGGTCCTACTGTCTACAGAGAATCCTTCTATGCCTCCTGCTGCTCTCCAAGACAGATGTGTCCTTGCTTTGGACTGTGTTACTGAATATGTTAAAGCTGTAATGAAATGCTTCTTCTAATCATGTGGTTATTAAATTAAAAAAAAAAAAAAAAAAAGACACACAATGAATAATCAATTTCCCTAAAGAGTAGCCTGTGATTAACGCTGGGGTGTCTGACCTCAGAGCATTGATAGTTTTCTTTTATTAGAGAATAAGGTAGAAATGATTGTTAGTATAAGTAATATTTGATGGGTGTCTTTAAAAAGTATTATTATTTTTTAGACAAGGTCTCATTCTGTAGCCCTTGCTGGCCTAGAACTTGATATGTAGACCAGGCTGGCCTCAAACTCACAAGAGATCCACCTGTCTTTGCCTCCTTAGTGCTGGGATTAAAGGTGTATTGTCTTTTAAAGAAATACTGGTCATTGCCAAATCAAATTGGTATGAATTCATGTTAATTTGCAAGTATTTCTTTTTGTTTGGTTGGACTTCCTCAAACTTCTTCAAATAACTAGAAACTATTTTAGCTGAGAATTTTTTGTTTTGACATACCTGGGTCTGGAGTGTAAGTGAATGGCTGAACATCATGAGATCTACCAGCATTGGTCACAACATATATTCCCACCGATACAGGCACAGTTATAAGTTGGTCATGATATGGAGGAACCTTCACAATAAGATGGTTCTATTTAAAGAAAAGCACAAAGAGTCAGAAAGGAAACAGTATTCAAACTAAAAACAAACAGATAGACAAAAAGCAATTTAAGTACACTTCCTGTTAGCTCTATAGTCTTAAAAAGTCTGATTATGAGCTGGGCATGGTATCGCACGCCTTTAATCCCAGCACTCAGGAGGCAGAGGCTGGCGGATCTCAAGGCCAGCCTGGTCTATATAGTGAGTTCCAGGGGAGCTAGGGCTATAGGTGACCCTTTCTCAAAATGACCAAAAAAAAAAAGAAAAGAAAGTCTGATTATGCTGACATGGTGATGCATGCCTTTAATCCCAGCACTTAAGAGGCAGGTGGATCTACATAATGAGTTCCAGGCCAGCTGAGGTGACAGGGAGACTCAGTTTCAAAAAAGTCTGATTAGAAAAAAATATGCATTTGATTTTAATTAACTAATAAATTAAAATTTTCAAGACAGGGTTTTGCTATGGAGCCCAGACTGGCCTCAAACCCCAGATCATCCAGCTTCATTCAGGCTCCCACGTGCTGGGTTTATAGTGCCATTATGCCAAGCAAAATATACATTACCTAAAGTTCAGGCTGATAGGCACTAGGTCATTAATCTTACTAGTTTGTTTAAAGGTAAAGCCTGAATGTTTTACAACAGATTATAAGATCCCTCTTCTGTCAACTTCCTCTCATTCCCATTCTCCCCATGGCTTAACACACTGTAGCTACCCCTGACCTCAGTTTACCCTTTTAAATTCAAAACTCAATTTTTCTTGTATTTGCTATTCCTCCAACTGTAATATTCTTCCTTCATATCCTCAAATGGGAAGCTCCTCACCAATCTTCAGGTCTTACACACAAATGTTCCACTCTTAGAGAAGTCTCCCCTGACCACTCTATTTGAAGAAGTACCCTTCTCCAACCTGATCACCTTTATTTTCACCACTTGAAATTATTAACGGATTGCTTTTTATTTTTGTCTTTTTGAGACAGGGTCGTCCTGTAGCCCCATCTATCCTGGAACTCACTATGTAGACCAGGGTGGCCTTGAACTCACAGAGATCCACCTGCCTCTGACTCCTGAGTGCTGGGATTAAAGACATACGCCACCATGCCTAGCTTGCTTTTTGTCTCTTTACAATCACAAAAATATAAGATCCCTGAGGATCCAGGCTGTTCTGTCCCACACTTTGTCAAGAATAGTACCATAAGCTAGGCGTAATGGCTCAGGCCTTTAGTCCCAACACTCAAGAGGCAGAGGCAGGCAGATCTCTCTGAGTTCAAAGCCAGCCTGATCTAATGAGTTCCACATAATCCCATCTCAAAAAGACGAAAAGAAAAAAAAAAAGACCATGAACAAAATGTACTCAGATGCCATTGGAGCCATCTCACCAGTTGGCTTGAAGTCTAGACTCTCCTACCTCAGCCTTCTAATGCTGGGTTTTACAGGTGTGTGTCACCACGCCTAGCTCCAAAGTTTTGTTTATAATAGAAACCTTTCTTTTCTCTAATATTAATTTCTGAGTTTCTTTTCCCATTTAATATCTCTAGGATCAATTATCTAGGATTCTAGTTCTAATTCTACGGTAAGAAAATGTTTTCTAGAAAGGTACTTAATTCTCTGAAAAAGATAAAAAGTTTAAAATGAAAACCACAGCATCAATGACAGATCATATTATGAATCAATTTCTTTATATACTTTTCTGCAAAAAGTCTAAGAGTAGGCCTCAAAGATGGCTTGCAGAGCAAAAACACTTGCTGTGAGTCTGATAACCAGAGTTCAATTCCTGAAACCCATATAAAGGTGGAAGAGGAGAACTAACTCCAGAGTTGCCCTCTGACCTCCATACACATATATCATATCACAATAGTAATAAATAAAATTTAAAAGTTACCCTCCAAGATCTCTAGATATAGTCACCAAAGAAGGATATAATTTCTTTCCATTTTACCATGCTTTTCGTGATTCTTCTCTCTTCTTATTACTCAACCAAAAGTGCCCTAAAAAGTGCTTTAACTACACACACACATACACATAACTGTAGCCCCAGTTGGCCTGGAACTCACTATATAGACCAGGCTGGCCTTGAACTCAAAGAGATCCATCTGCCTCAGCTGCCCAAGTGCTGAGATTAAGAGCATGACTCACTATATAGACCAGGCTGGCCTTGAACTCAGAGATCCGCCTGCCTCTGCTTCCCAAGGGCTGGGATTAAAGACCACTCCCGGCTCCAAATAAATATATATATTTTTTAATTTAACTTTTGGATTGAGGATGGAGGTAGTTCAGTTGATAGAGTGCTTGCCTAGTATGAATGAATCCCTGGGCTCAATTCCCAGTTATGCATAAACCAGGTATGATAATGTATGCCTGTAATCCCAGCATTTGGGAGATAGAGGCAAGAGTATCCAAAGTAATGCCATCCTTGGTTTCACAGTGAGCTCAAAACCAGTCTAGACTATATGAGACTTTATATGGAAAGGAAGAGAGGGAAGGAGGGAGGAAAAGAGGGAGGGGGAAGAGGGGAAAGAAAGAAAGGAAAGCAGCTTATTCTTCAGAAAGAATATACAGAAGAATCCAAGGGAAGGAGGGAGAAAGGAAACAAGTGGGAAGGAAAGGAGGAGAAAAAGGGATGAGGGGGAGAGAAGAGAGAGGAGACAGAGTACAAAACTAAGGGTGATGGACTGGGCACGGCGGTGTATGCTTTTAATCCCAGCACTCAGGAGGCAAAGGCAAGCATATCTCTGTAAACTCAAGGAACATTTGGTCAACATAGGAAGTTCCAGGCCAGCTCGGGCTACAGGGAGGGAGGCTCTGTCTCAAAATAAAACAAACAAAAAAAATAATTAGATTAATCTAACCAATGTGTCAGAATCCCAAACTTGCATAATGAGATTCTGTCTCAAAAACTAAACAAAATCAACAAGAACAAAAATTACCAAAACCTGTTCATGGCACATGAAAATAGTCTATGAAGTAATAAAGTTTCAATTAAGAGTAAAACTATAGGTATACAAAAAGCTGGTTAAAGGATTTTTTTAAAAATCTGGTTAAAATTAGGAGTTGAAATGTCCTCAGAAAGAACAAACAGACTTTAGATCAGAGTTCTCTTTTCCTTTAGGGAGGGTAAAAGGAGAAGTTTTCCATGGATATTAACAGCATGGTATTATGAGGCTCTTACTTGTTAACTATCAACAGTGCTGTAGAACATACTTCTGCTGGTCACAGGGAGTGGGGGTCATTGGCTTAGATTACAGAAGAAATAATGTCAGAATTCGAAGGAGCCTCAAAATAACTGCGTGAAGGAGTTTATATTGCTGGGCATGGTGGTATACACCTTTTTTCCCCAGGACTTGGGAGGCAGAGGCAGGTGAAGCTCTTTGAGTTCAAGGTCAGCCTGGTGTACATAGTAGGGTCCAGGCCAGCCAGGACTCCACAGTGAGAGCCTATCTCAAAAAAAAAATTTATTTTTGTGGGATGTGGTGGTGTACACCTTTAATCTCAGCACTTGGGAGATAGATCTCTGAGTTAGAGGCCAGCCTGGTCTACATAGTGAGTTCCAAGTCAGCTGGGGCCTGTCTCATAAAGATAAAACAACAACAACAACAACAACAAAAACAAAGCACATTTATTTTTATGCTGTGTATGAGTGTTTTGCCTGCATGTATGAATGTATACCATGTGTGTCCCTGGTGCCCAAAAAGGCCCGAAGAGGACACTGGATCCCCTGGAACTGGAGTTACAGATGGTTGTGAGCCACCATGTGAGTGTTGGGAACCAAACCCAGGTCCTTTGTAAACAGAGCAGCAAATGCTCTTAACTGCTGAGCCATCTTTCCAGCCTGGACTTGTTTTTCTTATAAACACAGAACGTTACTAACGACAGTACTGGAACTTCAGTTAAGACTGGTCTGGCAATGAACTTCTAGGAGATACTGTCCAACAGAAACTGTGACAAAGGAGTATCTTTTCCACAGCATTCAGTAGGTAAGGCTAGAGAACTGTCTACAAGGTACATATGATACTGTATACTACACAGTTCACTTTACCCAAAGAGAGGTATGGTCTGGTGTCTGCCCTTAGATACTGGAAGGTAACCTCTGACCACTCACAATATCATTCCATGAATATCTCCGGGGCTTTAGCACCCCACAAGTTAACAAAGTATGACAAGATCTTTGAAGTATGCTATACTAGATCTGACTGCTGGTGAAACTGGAGACCATAGGTCAGCTGCATGGCCATACATATAATAAAGTCCAAAGAAAATCCACAGACACCAAAGGCTTGAGTGAACTCTGGTTGGCAACTGTACATCTGTGATACACTGATATACTAAGAAGGTATATGTCTGCAGGGATGACAAAAGCTTTGCCTCTGGGACTTTCAGACCTTGCCTTATACACCTCTTCCTTTAGCTGATTCTGATCTTCACCCTTTTGCTATAATAGGTTTGTAATCATTAGTAGGACACTTTCCAGTGCTGTGTGAATTCTAGCAAATTATTAAATTTGAGGGGCTAGTGGGAAGATTTAAATTTAAAGCCAGCTACTCAACAGGATAGGTCCTCTGTAAGAACAGTCAGTGCTCTTAACCACCAAGCCATTTTTCTAGTCCCTGGTTATTGATTTTTGAATTCTTGCCTCTTCTGTATTTTTGCTTGTTTTCATGTGCTCTCCCTTCTCAGCTCTTCCACCTCTCCACCTTAGACACTGGAGACTGAACCCAGGGTCTTGCACATCCTAGGCAATCATCTTTGTCAGCTCCACAAACCAAATTTAAGGTATTTTGTACTAATCAGCTTGTCCCCTTCCCAAATACTGATACTTGAATATACTAGTCTTCTGCATGTATCTTCTTTTTTAAAAAAATATTTCATTTATTATTTTTATGTGCATGAGTGTTTTATCTGCATGTGTGTAAGTACAACTATGTCATGCAATGCCTGTGGAGGACAGAAGAGGGCCTTGGATGCCCTGGAACTGGAGTTATGGACAGCTGTCAGGAGCCATGTGGGTGCTGGGAATCCAGCCTGGCCCCTCCCTCTGCAAAATCAGTCAGTATTCTTAACTGCTGAGCTCTCCAGCCCCACATGCATGTGTCTTCTAACTTGCTTACTAATAAATTTAATCTTCTTTTCTGTTACCCTCAATTTATTAGCTTGGTTCTATTTCATTACATATTAATTCCTTTTTCTGTTTCACTTATTTATTCATTTACTTATTTTATTTATTTATTTTTGATAGAGTTTTACCATATAGCCCAAGCTGGCTTCAAATTTGCTATCTTTTTTCTTCTTCTGCCTCCTGAGTGCTGGGATAAGAGACCAATGCTACCACAACCAGCTCTTTTTAAAGACTCTTTAAGTGTGACAAGTATTTCTAACTGAAAGAAAGTAATGCAACAAACAAGAAGCATCTGGCACATAAACATATAATAAATGAGTTATATAGTAAGCTATTATCATCCTGATTCTCTGAGAAAATATTAGAAATGCTTATTTAGTAATAATGGCAACTTTTGCTACTATTTTATTATTATTATTATTATTATTATTATTATTATTATTATTATTTTTGGTCTTTCTTTGTGTTTTATCACATACAGTGTTAACCAATGTTAGTTTTTTTCCTATGAGTTCATTGCTTCGCTAGTATTCTTTTTTTTTTTTTTTAATAGCTTTTTTTCTTCTTTTTTGACAAAGGGAATCATATGACCCAGTCTGACCTTGAATTCACTATGTAGACAGCCAAAGATGAACCTGAACTTTTGATCCTCCTACCTTTACCTCCCAAGTGCTATGATTATAGGAATACATCATCACATCCAGTTACTGGGTGCTGGGGTTCAAACCCAAGGCTTTGTGCATGCTAGACAAGCATTCTACCAACTGAGCTACATACCCAGCCTGAAATGCCCTTAACTTTTTTTTTTTTTTTTTTTTTTTTTTTTTTTTTTTTAACCGGTAGCCATAGTTGGCCTGGAACTCACTATGTAGACCAGGCTGACCTCAATCTCACAGAGATCTGCCTGCCTCTGCCTGAGTGCTGGGATTAAAGATGTGTAACACTATACCCAGTAAATGTCCTTAAATTTTTAAAAAAGATAATTGGTCATTTCTGGCTTCAGATGAATTAATTCTATTCCAGTTAAAGAAACTCAAAAAAGAAACTTAATTTACATCAAAACCATCTAAGGATTAGTCTACTGATTCAGGAAATTTTCAGAACAAAACTGAATTACTCAGTAAACAACCATATAAAAAGATTTAAATTATACCTGATGAAACAATTCCATGTCGATTTCAGCTTCTGACTTCCAAGAGTTTTCATCTGATGGAAACAAAGAGTTATAAAATTTTGAACTTTTTAACTCAGTAGCTATGACTGTATTTTTCTAACAAGTGAGACAGAGAACAATCTCTCCATCATAAATATGCATACTTACCAGAAACATTTTCCTGGAAAATAACTTTAGTTCCTTTCAGAAAGTTCTTCCCAATTAAAAACACTTCTTCCTCTCCTTTCACTGAGCAGCTATGTAGGCTTTTCTTTAAAATCTCTGGCACTCCAGCTGGCTGAGCTGTGGGTATATATACAATAGCAATCTGTACAAAGAACCACCAACACTTTCTGCTCTTGCAGAGGACCTGGGTTTGTTTCTCATCACTCATATGGCAGCTAACAAACAACTGTCTGTAACTCCAGTTCCAGGGGTATGACACCCTCTTCTGGCCTCCACAGACACTGTACATGTGGTACACTTACATGCATGCAGGCAAAACACTCATAAAAATAATAAAATCTTTTTTTTTAAAGTTAATTTTAGCTGTTGTGGTGCACACCTTTAATCCCAGCCCTGGGGAGGCAGAGACAGGTAGATTTCTGTGAAAACAAGGCTAACCTGGTCTACACAATGAGTTCTAGGCTGGCTCTGGCTACAGGGAGATGCTATCTCAAAAAGACCAAAAAGGATGTGAGGGCAATCTGTCACCCCATTGGTCACCAGGGCTGATTCAGCTCATCTGGCTGGCTAGGTGGTATTCCCCTTCCTCTCTCAGTGCTTCATGTGCATGTGTCGCAGTCTCATCCCCCTCCTGCAAGCTGCGATCTTGGTGGAAGAGGATGTCCTCCTCCAATAGAGGAAGACTGGTCTTCAGTCCAGAGTATACCTGCATTCCCCTTCTAGAACCTCCAAACAAGCTTTCAAAAGACCAAAACAAAACAGTTAATTTAAAGTAGCCAAGCATCATGGTGCACGCCATTAATCCTAGCATTCAGAAGGTAGAGGCAGGTGGATCTCTGTGAATTCCAGGATGGGTAGAGTTACATAGTTACATAGGCCCTGTCTCCAAAAAAAAAAGGGCAGTATGTTACTAATTGTGTGAATTTTTTTTTTTTTTTTTTGGCCTTTTCGAGACAGGGTCTCCCTGTAGCCCCAGCTGTCCTGGAACAGGATTACAGGTATGAACTACCACACCTACACCTGACTTTGCACCTAAATTATTATTTAAAATATTTTATTTATTATTTTTATTTTATGTGTATGTGCGTATTGCCTGCATGTAGGTAAGTGGGTAAGTGCACCCATGTAGTGTGGAAGAGGCTGTCGGATCCCCTGGAACTGGAGTTATGGACAGTTGTTAGCTGCCATGTGGGTGCTGGGATTCAAACCCAGGACTTCTGCAAGAACAGTCAGTGCTCTTAACCACTGAGCCATCTTTCCAGCCCCCGCGCCTAAATTATTCTTAGTAGTATTTATTTCTTTTCTCTTTTTTTTTTTTTTTTTTTTTGTTTTTTTTTTTTTTTTTTTTTGGTCTTTTTGAGACAGGGGACAGGGTCTCCCTGTAGCCTCAGCTGTCCTGGAACTATGTAGACCAAGCTGGCCTTGAACTCACAGAGATCTGCCTGACTCTGCCTCCCAAGAGCTGGGATTAAAGGTGTGTATCACCACGCCCGGCGAATTTTTCTTATAGTAGTATTTACTTCTTATTTGGAGACAGGGTCTCACTGCGTAACCCTGACTGGCCTGAAACTCACAGAGATACACTTGCTTCTCCCTACTGTGTACTAGATTAAAGGCACACACCACCCAACAGTGCCCAAAATTTTAACAAAGTGGATGAATGTCTGCTCAGTGGTAGAACATTTAACCTAACATACGACACCTTGGGTTTGATCCCCAGCCCGTTTTTTAAAAAAAGGAAGAAGCTGGCTGGAGAGATGGCTCAGCAGTACTGACTACTCTTCCAGAGGACATAGGTTCAGTTCCCAGAACCCACACAGCAGCTAACTGTCTGTAACTCTGATTTCTGGGATTCCAAAGCCCTCTTCTTGCCTCTATGGGCATTATACACATGCAGTGCACTTACATATATAACATATATGGAGGCAAAACACTGATACAGATAAAATAAAAAATTAAAAATTAGAAAACATCTTTTAAAAAAGATGGTTGAGCCGGGAGTGGTGACCCACACCTTTAGTCCCAGCACTCGGGAGGCAGAGGCAGATAGATCTCTCAGAGATGCCCAGCTTGGTCTACATAGTAAGTATGATCAAGGCCAGCTGGGGCTGTAGGGAGACCCTGTCTCAAAGAGACCAAAAAAAAAAAGGAACAAGGGAAATAGAAAATGGTTAGATTCAGGAATGGTAATATAGAAAATATGAAGAAAGGCGACTGGGGGTTTAGGGGGTCTCCTTCTAAAAAAGAAACAAAAAAAAAAAAGGAACAAGGGAAATAGAAAATGGTTAGATTCAGGAATGGTAAGATGGCTCAGTGAGTAGAGGGGCTTGCCCTCAAGTCTGATGATCTGTGCTTCATCCCTGGAACTCACATGACCTCTTGTGACCTGGGGATATAGACTTACTCCCCATGACCCTTTCCTGCCCTTGACCTAGAATAGTGTATGGCTGTATGTGTATATGTTTTGTATATCAAGACTACAAATAGCAGATACTTGTTCAAAGCAAGGAAATAATGATCCATTTGTATTGCAAGCAATAGATGTAAATTAAGAAGTAGTTGATGTAGATGTTAACTACTTACTAGCTAACCAAGAAGACACTGATGTCTTCCAGACATAACTAGATACACCAATCCACCCAAAGGAAATGATTAATCCATTTGTGTTGCAAGTAATAGATGTTAACTGATAACATCCATGGTTGTGTGCTTGCTGGTCTAACTCAGTAGTGGTCAGAAGGAACATAGTCCAGTGATAAGTGCCCATTTTTCTTTCTCCATTTCATGCTGGATAGACTGTTTCAATAAAAGAAAGAGCAAGCCTTGTTGCGATAAAAGTTCCCAAGTTCCCAGAGAGTTTTGAAAGAATGGGTTCTCAAAACAATTAGGTTTCCTCTTGGATGCTATGAGTCAGGCCATCCTTATTCAAGCATCAGTGTAATGTGGCAACATTGTAAACACTATAATTAACCAGTAATATTCACCAAAATCTCATGATAACTGGAATTAACATGTTTAACAGAACAACAGAATTTTTTAAAGACTTACTTTTAAAATTTCTATTTTATTTATTAGTAGTGTATATGCATGTGTGTGGGTGCGCAAGTACCAAAGTGAGTGTGGAGGTCAGAGGACAACTTTTGGGAGTTGGTTCCTTAGTTCCAATGCGGATTCTAAGGACTGAACTCAGATGGTCAGGCTTGCATAGCATGTTCCTTTACCCACTGGGATATCTTATCTTAATCACTTGATTTGGATTTTTTACAAACAATCATTAGTCAGCTGTGACGGCACACATCAAGAGTCTCAGCACTCGGGAGGTGAGACAAGAGGATGACCATGAGTTTGTGGACAAAATTGGTCTATACTGGGAGACCGTATCTTTAAATGAAAAACAAAAACAAAAAGTAATTGGTAGGAACTACATAAGTGTACGGTGAAATCCACTAACATAAGCAGACATCTTTCAAAAGTCGTAAAAAAATTAATTACTAGAACATAAAACTCTTAGGTAAAGGATATAGTCCTTTGATAATAATTCCATATTATAACCAATGGGGCCATGGCAAGGATGAAGTGAAAGATTAGAACTTGGATTTGTACTCAAGAAGTAGAGGCAGGAAGATCTCTGTGAATTTGAGGCCAGCTTGGTCTACATAGCAAGTTCTAGGCCAGCCAGGGCTACATAATGAGACCCTGTCTTTAAAGAAAAAGGGAAGAACAACAACAACCCAGTTTTAACACTTCAAGTGATTATAGCAGCTTTGTTTGCTTGCTATGTTCCAGCTATGAGGTCTTGAAGTTATTTGATCTCTAAATTGCACTTTTGTTAACAGTAGACTAGAATGTATGTAAGGTGATGGTAAGGGATAAATGACATAATGCTACAAAGTACTTAACAAGATCACAACCTGGAGTGTGTGCAACACTAAAATTTATGAGATGATGGAAAAAAGTAAGAAATCTTCAGATACTTAGTATTTCCATATCTTCCTACTTACTACACAAAATGGGGGAAGATGGTGTCTGTAATGTCAAAGTGGAGCCATCTTTCCTCGTGATGTTAACTCGAAAAACCAATCTGGCACGAGTGCTTTTTTTCTTGGAGCCAGCAATTCCTATTCGGGCTTCAACATCGGCATTCCTCAGCTTCAATATCCCTACACAGTCCACCCTGAAACAGAAAAACACAGACCAACTGACACTTTGCTGTATAAACACTCCCAACATTTGATTTGTTTGTTTGTGAGACAGGGTCTTACTATGAAGTTCTGGCAGGCCTGGAACTCACTAAATATACCAGGTGAGGCTCAAACTCAGAGAGCTTCACCTGCCTCTGCCTCCTGAGTGTTGGTGTGAGCCACCACGCCTGGTCTAATAGCGCACTTAAACATTTAAAAACAAGATTCTTTTTAAAAAAGACTGATCCTCTTTTTTTTTTTTTCTTTTTTTTTTTTTTCTTGAGACAGGGTCTCCCTGTATCCCAGCTGGCCTGGAACTCACTACATAGACCAGGATGACTCAGAGTCCTGGAACTAAAGGCATGCACCACCATGTCTGGCCAAGACAAATTCTTTATTAATTCTTTGAACATATATTTACTAGGCTCCTAACTCAGAAAGTACTGAAGAAGAAATTTGAAATATCTGAAGCCCCTAATCTTGTTAATTTTCTGTTTAAAATGGAAAAGTAAAGATATAAAATCATGCTTTAAAATTTGAACACAAGTAACAACCTACAAGAAACATATTCTGTGCTTTTTAAAAAGAAAATAAATTAGACTTTCTTTCCATAGCATAAAACAGAATGGATCAAACTTTAAAATAAAATCAGTAACTAGTTCCCCCAAATGTAATGCTACATAGACATTTAAAAGTATGTTACAAGCTGGGCGTGGTGGCTCACACCTTTAATCCCAGCACTTGGGAGGTACAGGGACGTGGATCTCTGAGTTTGAGGCCAGCCTGGTCTACATAGTGAGTTCCCGACCAGCTGGGGCTACAGGGAAACCCTGTCTCAAAGAGACCAAAAAAAAAAAAGCATGTTACAAAATAGCATTTACAGAAACGGCAAAATACTATTAACTGAAAGCAGATTACAAAACAATAGGGGTGGCTCTTATCTCAATTTTGTCAAAAAAAAGGAGGGGGGTTATTTGCACAAAGTTTTGGTTTTTTTCTTTTTAAAATTTTTTTTATGTGTATGCGTGTATTATCTGCATGTAGGTAAGTGCACCCAAGCTGTGCAATGCCCGCAGAGGACAGAAGAGGCTGTCAGATCCCCTGGGGCTGGAGTTACGGACAGCTGTTAGCTGCCATGTAGGTGCTGGGATTCAAACTTGGGTCTTCTGCAAGAACAACCAGTGTTCTTAACCACTGAGACATCTCTCCAGCCCTGGTTTTTCTCTTTAAAAAAAAAAATTTTTTTTCTTTTATTTTTAACTTTACAATTTTTATTTTATGTGTATGCATGTATTGCCTGCATGTATGTAAATGCACCCATATCGTGCAATGCCCAAGGAGGACCGAAGAGGTCGTCAAATCCTCTGGAACTGGAGTTATGGACAGTTGTTAGCTGCCATGTTAGCTGAGATTTGAACCGAGGTCTTCTGCAAGAACAGGCAGTGTTCTTAACTGCTGAGCCATCTTTCCAGCCCCTTGGTTTTTTTCTTAATAGTCATCCATTTTATATTTGGAGAGGGGGTAGTGCATACCATGGTGTGGGTGTGTATAAGTCAGAGGACAACTTTTGTGGCTTGGTTCTCTCCATCTATCTTGTGGGTCCTGGGAATCTAACTCAGGCTGTCAGACCTGGTGGCAGGTACCTTTACCATGTGAAACATCTCTCCAGCCCCGAAAGTGAAGTTTTAAAGGGTATATTTTAGGCTTCTCCCCTCACCCCCTTTTCTTTAAGACAAGGTGTCATGTAGCTCAAGTTGGCCTCAAACTCACTATGTTGCTACTGATCTTAAATTTCTTCTGATCTTCCTGCCTCCTCCTCCTGAGTGCTAGGATTACAGATGTGTGCCACTATACTCAGTTTATGTAGTGATGGTGACTGAGCTCAGGGCAAGCATTCTACCAGCTGAGTTACATCCCTTAGCCCCATGGCTACTGATTCTTATTTTCAATGTTAATATTAAAAGTCTCAGTAAGTAGCTCTCTCAATTTCCAGGAAGCCAGCATACTACTTGGCTTTTATTTCCCTGCTTTTCACCATGGCAATTCATTAGGAAAGCACAAAAGAGTACACCTTAATCCATTGCCATTCTGTAGTAACCTTTTTCCCTTTAATTTGCATTATTTAAAACATTTTAATAAAACCCTCAAGCCTTCTGATTCTCTAGGAATAAAAATCTTTTCTTGCCTATTCAAAAGTATAATATATAATAAAAAAAATTTGGGGCTGGAGAGATGGCTCAGCAGTTAAGAACACTGGTTGTTCTTGCAGAAGACCTGGGTTCGAATCCCAGCACCCATATGGCAGCTAACAACTGTCTGTAACGCCAGTCCCAGGGGATCCAATAGCCTCTTCTGACCTCCGCAGACATTGCATGACACAGGTGCACTTACCTACATGCAGGCAACACACACATACAAATAAAATTTTTTAAAATTTAAAAATAATAATAATCATTATCATTATCATCATCATCTTGGGGGCTAGAGCTTGGTGGTTAAGAGCACTGAGAGCTCTTGCACAGAACCTGAGTTTGGTTACCAGCACCCACATCAGGTGGCTCACAATAGTCTGTAACTCCAGTTCCAGGGGATCCAATGCCATCTTCTGGCCTCTATGAGCAATTATATGCATGTGGTGCACATAAACTCATGAGCACACATACATAAATAAAATAAACAAATCTATTTTTTAAAATTTATGAAGTATTAGCCAGGCGTGGTGGTGCACACCTGTAGTCCCAGCACTTGGGAGGCAAAGGCAGGCGGATCTCTGTGAGTTCAAGGTCAGCCTGGTCTACATACTGAGTTCCAGGCCAGCTGGAGCTGCAGGGAGACCCTGTCTCAAAAAGACCAAAAAAAAAAAAAAAAGTTTATGAAGTACTTACGCCAGTGTCATGTTGTTGCTAGGATCAAGACCAACTTCTATAACAGTGGTACCTTCAATGTCCACTTCTTTGCAGGGAGTTGTGTTTCGTCCAGTTACCCTACAGGCCTGGTAAAATCCATGTGGTTTCACTCGACCAGAATCATTGCCCACAAACACCTGCAACACTACTGGTTCATTATGACCTTCCAGCTGGAACCAGATAACATGCAGCAGAAACACTAATTAGCATTTCAAGTAAGCTCATTATAAATTGAACATTTAAAAGCAAATCTTAAATTTACAGCCAGATTACAATGAAGAAATAAATCTTAAAGAAAAACAGGCAAAGCCCCCCTCCCAAACACACACCTTTCTCTTGAAGGTATTGAGAACTGAGCCCAGGTCCTCACAAATGCTAGGCCAGTACTATGGCCCTGAGCCTCACACCCAGACCTTCTTTAAAAAGAAGGATTGATTTCCATAGAAAACCTCAGTATCAATTCTGCAGTAACTACATTTTAAATAAAAATTCAGATGTTCTAGCCTGGCATGGTGGAGCACACCTTTAATCCCAGCACTTGGGGGGGCAGACGCAAGCAGATCTTTGTCAGTTCAAGGCCAGCCTGGTCTACATAGTGAGTTCCAGGACAGCTGGGGCTAAAGAAAAACCCTGTCTCAAAAAAAAAAAAAAAAAAAAAAAAAACTCAGGTGTTCTCTAGTAAATTGTCACTAAACTTGTTTGTATGAGCAAATAGGAACAGACACACTTGTTCAAAAGGCAAATAGGTTACTTAGGATATGCCATCATCACTGTGCTGCTGTGTTAATGACATTATCATCAAGTGAGAGTATATACGCTAAATCTTTACTGAAGGACTTTGAGGAGAAAAGTATTTGAGGTGCAGCTGTACACGTAACAGGAAAATGAAGCTCATTTTCAAAGACTAGATACACACATACAAATCCATGAATTCTTGGGCCAGAACATCTATGGTCTGGAAAACTGCTAGCTTAAAGTAAGATTCATGATCATTACAGACTTCTAGCAAATCTTTCATGAATAAAATTATAATTCATGTGCAGAAGAATAAATACTTAAAAGCATGAGAAAAAATGTTCAATTTTGATTGCTGATAAGTCTTGTAAATACTGAAGCTGATGACAAAGAATGCAGAAAAAAATTAAAATAATTTGTACAGTATATACCCAAGTGATTCTTTAAAGTGGCATCTCTCCTAGTATCATGATATCTCTGTGCAGTGATTATCATATCCAGGCAAATAATAAAAGGAATAAGTGCTGCAGCTGGAGAGATGGCTCAGCGGTTAAGAGCACTGGCTATTCTTGTAGAAGACCAGGGTTCGAATCCCAGCACCCACATGGCAGCTAACAATTGTCCATAACTCCAGTTCCAGGTGATCCGACAGCCTCTTCTATCTACATGCAGGCAATACACGCATACACATAAAATAAAAATAATCAATAAAATATTCAAAAAAGGAATAAGCGAGTGTGTCCATTCTGATGTGCTTGCACAAATAAACTAACTGAAGTGTAGTTACTGCAGAAGTAGCTGACAATACCTAGACACGTGCTGGCACACAGGGCATAAATACTTGTTAAATAAATGAGTAAATAAATTCTAAGGACAAACAGTTCATTTCCTAACATAGTCCGGCAATTAATCTACTAATACAATGATACTCGTAACTCTGTAAATTCTTAGCTAAAGCATAATTTAAAGGCAAGCAATTAGATTAACAATATTGACCCAACTATCAAAATGTCTAGCTAAACAAACATAAAGCCTAATTTGAATTTCTCACTTGCCTATTACTTGTCCTGGATTTGAGGTGAGGGAATTCATTGTGGATAGATCAGTGTTGTAAGAAAGACTGAAATTTTACTTTTAATCTGAGTTCTGAAAAGGTACACACTAAACTGATACCATATTTCCTTTAAAAAGTTTTTATGAGGGTTGGAGAGATGGCACAGCAGTTAAGAGCACTGATAGCTCTTACTGAGGATCAGAGGATATGGGTTTGATTCCCAGCACCCATATGGCACCTAACAACTGTCCATAATTCCAATTCCAGGAGATTGGATGCCTTCTTCTGGCCTCTGTGGGCACTGCATGACATGGGTGCTGCACCTATCTACATGCAGGCAATAAACTCATACACACAAAATAAAAATAATAAAATATTTATTTTTTCAGTCTTTTTGAGACAGGGTCTCCTGTAGCCCCAGCTGGCCTGGAACTCATATAGATCTGCCTGCCTCTGCTTCCCAAGTGCTGGGATTAAAGGCATGCCCCACCACACCTGGCGAATTTTCTTAATTTTTCTTTCTGTTTCTTCACCTACAACCCAGGTCCAGTGAGGCTAGTCCTCTCCTTCTGTAATTGGTCTCTTATACATCTTAGTTTAGATGGCATGAGGAAGAGAGAACTTCTGCTTCCCTGAGCCCTGCTCACATATGAATTCCATCACTTAGGCCTATTGAGACCAGAAGGAAATTGGTATTCTTAACCCCTGAGCCATCTCTCCGGTCCTAATAAAATATTTTTTAAAAATGTTTTTATTAGCCAGGCATGGTGGCACACGCCTTTAGTCCCAGCACTTGGGAGGCAGAGGCAGGCAGGTCTCTGAGTTCAAGGCCAGCCTGGTCTACATAGTGATCACGCTCCAGGACAGCTGGGGCTACAGGGAGACCCTGTCTCAAAAAGACTAAAAAAAAAAAAAAAAATGTTTTTATTTGGGCAAGTGAGATGGTTCAGTAGTTAAAACCATTTGCTAAAACCATTTGCTGCCAAGCTTGATAACCTGAGTTCTATCCCCAGAGCCCACATAAAGGTAGAAGGAGAGAACCAACTCCACAAAGTTGTGTTCTGACCCCCACCCATGCACAAGGTACACACTGCATTGCCAGCCCCCACATAAATGTAAATTTGAAAACTAGGGCTAGAGTGGTTGTCAGTAAAGTATTTGCCGCAGAAATACGAGGTCCTGAGTTCAACCCCCAGCACCCACATTAAAAAAATAAATAAATAAAGGCTGTGTGTGTCTTGTGTGTGTGCATGCTTGCGCACACCTGCAGGTTTACACACATGTGTGCTGGTGCTGTGGAGACCAGGGGACAACCTCGGGTCTCATCCTCAGGAATGAGGCTGACTTCCTTTGAAATAAAGGGATCAATGTTGTGGTGCTCATCAATCAGGCCACTCAGTCCTAGGGCTCATCCCTGTCTTTGCCTCCCAACACTGGGATCACAAATGCTTGCCACCACACTCAGCATTTTTACTGGAGTGCTGGGGACCGAACTCAGGTTCTCATGTTTTCAAGTCAAGCACTTTGCCAACTGATATCTACCCAGTGCCCTTATTTCTTAAACCAAGACTTAAGTTACATATCAACCAATTCTTTTCTAAGTTAAATAGTTCTGATCATGCCAGGCATGGTGGTGCAAGCCTTTAATCCCAGAACTAGGGAGGCAGAGGCAGGCAGATCTCTGTGAGGCCAGCCTGGTCTACATTCAGAGTTTCAGGTCAGCTGGGGTTACAGGGAGACCCTGTCTCAAAAAAAAAAAAAAAGTTCTGATTACTTTAGCCATTTAAAAATTTTATTTTCCAAGGGTTTTTTTTTTTTTTTTTTTTTTTGAGACAAGTCTCATTATGTAGTCCTGGTTGGCCTGGAACTCACTCTGTAGACTACTAGACTGAACTCAGAGATTTGCCTGTCTCTGCCTTATGCCTCTACCTCCTGATTGCTGAGACTAAAGGTGTGCATCACCATGTCTGGCCCAAGTTCTTACTAATTTCTACTGTGTTTCTTTTCATCCAATTTAAGTTTTATTCTAAGTGTAACATTTTGGATAAATCTATCAGCATCAAATATAGGAGTAAAGATAATTCATGAGCTACTGATAACTTCCTTTTCAGAATGTACTCTTTTCTCTCAAATGAAAATTCAGCCAGGTGTGCTGGCTCACACCTATAAACCCAGCACCCAGAAGGCTGAGGTAGAAGGAATGCCATGAATTCAAAGCCAGCCTAGGCAACACAGTGAGTTCCAGGCCACCATGAGCTATTGTGAGACCTAGCTCAAAAAACAAAAAACAAACAAACAAAAATTCAAATGTTATCAAAGTAATATTTGGCTTATGGTCCAATTAGACTTTTACTCTATTTTCTTTTACACTGAACTTATAATTCTACCCTCCTATTTTAAGCTTTTGCTAGGGTTAAAATTGGAGTAAACTTTTCACACACACACACACACACACACATATTTTTTAACATCTATTTAGAGTATGTGTGTGTGCACACATGGGTATGTGTGTAGGCTTGTTGGTACCATAACATGTGTGGAGGTCAGAGGACAACTTTATAGCACCAGTTCTCTCCCTCCACCGTTACATGGGTTCCAGGAATGGAAATCAGTTCTTCAGGCTTGGCAGCAACAGTCTTTACCTGCTGAAACCCTATCTGGTAAGCTCGCTCTTCACACATTACTAAATAAAATAAGTACCTTTACTGTGGGAAAGCCTTGCTGTGTTCTATCTTTTACTGAGCCACGGCTGCCCTCAGTCAGGTACCGCGCTCGGTGCTGGGTCTCAGGCTGTACAACTATCTTCAGCTCTTTCCCCTCACTTTTAACAGGATACTGTCCACACAACATAGGACTCTTCTTTACTCCAGTTCCTTTTTGGTTGTCCAATGCTCTGAGAAATCAAAGCACAACATGAAGAAAATATCAAAAACCATTTTCTATAGGAGCTATCAGATAAAGGAAGAAACAGAATAGGCAATAACAATAAAAACTACTTAGCTTATTGACAAAATAAAATACAGCCTAAAAGATACAGCCTCTAACCAAAATATCTTTAAAATACTTTTGAACAAAGTTTAACCATATGATAGCAAAAACTGGACCAGAAAGAGAAGAATACAGATGAGAGGAAGACAGTACAATAAATTATTAAGTTTTCACACTGCAAATCAGTTAAAATATAACTTAAAAATTATACACGAGTCTTTTATAAAGCTAAAAGATTAATTACTATTACTTTTGAATCAGATTTGCAAAGCAAAAAAAAGGGTGGGGGCAGTAGCAAAAACACAGAAACCAGCACACATACACAAAAAAAAGCTTAAAAAAAATCAACAATGAAGGTATATGTAGTAAGTCCTTTTGGCTCTTTCTCAGTAAAGCAAAATGAATAATTTATAGTAAAAAATCAGGGATTCAATTTTTATTAGGAAATTAGGTTTACTCTACATAATCTTTCTTAGAAGTGTAATTTTTCAGATTACTTTCATTTGTGATTGGTTAAATGATTAAAGTCATGAATAAAAATTTTATAAGATAAGCTTTATTAACTTATTTATTTGCTTGTTTGTTTGAGGTAGGGCCTCACTATGCAGCCCTAGCTGGCCTGGAACTTGCTCTGTAGACCAGGCTAGCCTCAACTCACAGAGATCCACCACCTCTGTCTCCCAAGTAATGGGAGTACACAGTTACCACCCCTGGCATAAAGTAAGCTTTATAGCATTGGCAATCCTACCTGTTTATTTAAAATTGTGGGAGTTTTTGTTTTGTTTTGGGTTTTTTGGAGACAGGGTCTTGTGTAGCCCAGGCCAAATTCAACTTGATATGTAGTTACGGATGACCTTGTACTCCTGAACCTTCTGCCTCCACCTACCAATGATATATACAGGCATGTGCTACCATGCCGGACTCTAAAATTGTGTTTTTAACATTTATTTATTTATAATATATTTGCTAAGAGGAATGTAAATTCAAAGAATAACAAAATCCCAAATAGTGATTAGGACTTCTATAAAGCATTGCAAATGTCTGATGAAAATAAGAAGAAGAAAAAAAATTACCAACTTTTTCCTTTTGAACAACATGAAAGAGATTTAAAATTATCCATGTACATTCTTGAAAAGTCAGGACCTGGCAGGATTTTTGACTCAGCGAAGAAATAAGATCCCAGGAGAAATATTATGGTCTCAAAAACAGAAGAACTATAAACAGTCTTGAACCTGGCACTAATGTTCACTTCTCCAGGTACAGCCAATTGTTGCTTCAATCATCAAGAACAAGGGGAAAAAAGGCAGTCACCTCAAGAGAAATGCTGGTACCCAGGAAAGGCACAGAAGTATGCAAGAAAGGAAGGATGACAGTGATACAGAAATGTAGAAAGCCTGACTAGGTAAGAGGAAAAGTATACAAGGAAAGTGCTTGTGCTTGATCGTTTTCATACAAAATATGTGTTGAAAGCAAACAGGAAGAAGTAGACAACGAAAGAAGGCAGAGAGAAAACAGCTTCTAAATGGCAAGATGAGAAAGACCAGATCTTAATTGGACAAGGAAAGCAAACATAAACATGACATAATTACCTGTATGTATAAGTCATTTAAAAGGCCCTAGAAGAGTAAATTCTGAACAAAGGGATCAGGTTGAAGCTGGACCAATGGGGCATGAAACGTTTTTCTTGTCCTCATTCTGGGTGGGTCTGAATAGTGAAGAATCCCTTACACAGGAGATTCTAATCTGTTTTGTATTCATCTTATTATCAAAGCAGAAAAATTAACATATTCAAACTATAAAAACATCTCTCATATGTATATACAAAGTGACTAAAAGAAACTATAGCAGAATGAGAACAGTAGTTGTAAGTGGCTGGACTATGAGTTCTTTACTCCCTTATATTTTTCAAATACTTGTAATTCATATGTATTAGTCTTATAATAAAAAATGGAAAATTTCAGTTTGAAATATGAAGAAGACTTGTATGACATGACACTTTGGTCAGATGAAGTTTTCGTATTCACTTATACTAACCAAGCTAATACTTTATGAGGGTAAATGAAAATGAGTTCTGCCGCTATTTGTTGGTGAGGTGATGGTATGTATATACATTAAGGCTAAAAGAACAGCACATGGAATTCAATAATTTCTGAAATACAGAAAATCTTTCTGTTGCTCCTATTTTTTTGTTTTGAGAGAGGATCTTACTATTAAACCAAGCTGGACTTGAACTCTCTATAAGCCCAAGCTGATCTCAAATCTCACAATCCTGCCACAGCCTCCCAAGCGCTAGGATTACAGGAATGCACCACCATACCTGACTATGAAATTGTATTTTAAAAAGCACTTTACTCTCTAAATTTAAATGGGACAACAGAAAGCATGCATATTTACATCTATAGACATGTAAAACAATGAAAACATCAACTAGTTCTTAGAAAATTAGTCATTCAGTTTATGAGCTGGTAAGGTAAAATGGCTGAAGAAAAAGACAACAAAGCAGCAATTCATTACATGGAGACTCACTGATTTTTGCAGTGCTAGCATCAAAGCCAAGGGGACTAGGAAAGCACTCTACCACTAGAGTTTTACTTTGCAGTGACAACTAAAATGGAAAGACTGCTGTTGTGGCATATTCTACTCAGAAACCTTAAAGTGACATTCAGACTCCTTTGTGCTAGATAATCCTTCTGGTTGTCTATGACATAAAAACAAATTTCACTACAAAAATGCCTTAAGTCACTTCTGTATCCGCATCATATAACTTCTAGGAATCTAAAAGAAACACAGGGCTGCTGATTCGTAGGACATTTAGCTGAAGAATTTAAGAATTATATATATCTTGAAACAGGGTCTCCCTGTAGCCCCAGGTGGCCTACCTCTGCCTCCTGAGTGCTGGGATTAAAGGCGTGCGCCACCACACCCGGCATGTTGTTGGCAATTATTTAAATACAAAGCAGTTTTTTAAAAAGTTTTTTCTTTGATAAAGTCCTAACATTTTAGTTATAATGTAGTCTTTCCACCAACAGGCTATCAAGATTTCTATGTGGCATCATAAAGATAAATAAACTGCTATACACAATATACTTGAAAGGTCATTTAATAAATATTTAGCACTATATAAACTTCAAATTGTGACATAGTAGATGTAAGATTATGAAACATCTCTCAAAACATTTCAAAATTTCATGTTTCTAACATCTTTCTCATTGTTGAAAAAAAACAGACAATTAACTAGAAACTGAAAATTGTTTAAGATCTGTTATTCAATGTATTGTACATTTGGTTTCATCCTCTCCTTAATATAGTTCTTATAAATTCAAACTGTAAACTTCACATTTCCATATACTACTGTCAAATAATTTTCCATTACCTAAGAAGATGGGTATTTCTTCTGCTGCTTGATGGAGTTTCTGCTCCATGAATTATTTCATGAAAGATCTGTCTTGACCAATGTCAATATACTTTCCCTGGTAACCTCAAATCATTGCTAAGATATATCTATCATACAAAAGCAGAAGCAGAAAAGATGTAGGTCAAGTAATCTCTTTAATTAGCAACTGCAAAAATCACTGTTTGACTAACCCTAAATAAAAACTTTACTTGTTCTTAATTTGAAACTTTAAGATCTATTTTAGTACAAATATGAAAATATCTTTCATTGGAACCTTATAAAAGATCTTTTCCACTGAAGCCCAAATAAACAAATACATATATTTACTGACATTTGCGAACCTTTTAGGTTTGTGCTACTAGTTACATTTACTTAAGTGAACTTGGTATTCATTATGTTACAGAGCCTTACCTCACATTCTATAGCTCAATAAATATTATGTTGTAGAATTCCTGACTGTTAAATTGTAACATATTGGGAAAGACTGTGTTTTATTTTCTTTTGAAAGTTGCCTAATCTAGACTTTCTGAAACTGAAAAGCATTTAAATTATTTAACTACATTATACTAAAGGAGTTTTAAATGAAAGTGTAAAGGAGAACAGTAGGCTAATTTTTTAAACTGTTAAGTCAGCATACAAAAGTAATGAGTTTTATTAGGCCTTTCATACATGTGAGCACTGTGTAAATCTTGCTTAAGTGACCAATATTAATTTTAAAACATGCATGGGAAATATTTAAGGACAAATTTAATATATTAAGAGTATGAAATTGAATCAGGTTTTTAATGTAGCAGAGATCAAAGATGTTCAGTAGTAAAACTGTCTAAGCTTCTGGACCACTTTTTGTGACAAGCTGAAATTATAACAGATCTTTGGTCACCTAAACAGTCATATTCTGCCTCCTCCAAATAGAATTCTCAAAACTTAGTGAGTTAAATTTTACTAAACTATACTGTAAACTGCAGAAAAATTTCCAGCAATTAGCCCGGCATGGTAGCACATGCTTTTAATCCCAGCACTCGGGAGGCAGGGGCAGGCGGATCTCTGTGAGATTGAGGCCAGCCTGGTCTACATAGTGAGTTCCAGGCCACCTGGGGCTACAGGGAGACTCTGTCTCAAAAAGTAAAATAAAATAAAATGAACCTTAATGAGAATTGAGTCTTTCTTTTTTCCTTGTTTTCATTAAGTAAAGATGAAAAACAAAAATAAGACCTAGAATTCTCTGGAAAATATATGGTGAGTGAACCATATGAAACACATTGTTAAGGAGAACAGACTTGCTTCCAATAAGCTATTAAGGTATTTTAGAGTACTATATTCTTACTTATTTCTAATTCTATAAGTAAAGATATTTTTTAAATTCTTTTAAAATATAAATACATTTAAGTCTAAAAGTTATTTCAAACAGATTTTCTTTTCTACTGCATCTAACTACACTCATACTAAATGTCTATTGCTATAATCTACTGATATTTTATGTTATTTTTCTAGTAAAATTTGATCATTAGTTAAAAATTTCAATGAAAATTAGTATCTTTGCTTTATATGCAAGCTGGACTGAGCAATTAAGAAAAGTTGGGAATGATTTTGTTTTGTTTTGTTTTGCATAATGGTGATAGAATTTTAAAAAATGTGGATACCAACCCATTTCCAGCTTTTGAGTTGCCTTTGTTGTCCGTGGTAAGCTGAGAAAGCACATAGTGAGGTGCTTTGGCACTGTCGGCATCAAATATATCCATATTAGATTCTTCACAATCTCGTCGTTTGACCCCCGGCCTCTGCTTTGGATTTCGTTTTCGTGATTTACGAGGTACCTCAGTGTTATCATTGTAGGAACTGGTGCTCATGTTACTGAAGTTGGAGGGGGAATCCTCCATCCACATACTGCAGCTCTGCTCAGATTCCAATCCACACCCCTCATCCTGGCAGGACATCCGACTGTTATCCAGCAAGTCCTCAGGTGGTGGTGAGATGTACAAAACTGTGTGCCTCTTCGGGGTTGATGGATGCTGCTGAACTGTGTTACTGGTTAACTGCTTTTCACTTACCCCTCTGTTACTTACCCCCACGGCTGAGGAGCAGCTCTCCACTTGCATAGCCTTGCTGTCGGTGACTGAGGTAGAATAAATGGTAGGGCTGGAAGAGGTGGTAAAGGAGCTGCAAGCACCGCCCATGGAGGAAGAGGAGGGAGCTGAAGAAGCATCTGCAGTGTACAATCCAAGAGTAAATACACTGTCCATGTTTTCACCTATGCTGGCTAGCAGTCCCAATGAAAATGTGATTTGTGAACTGATTGTTTGCCCCAAAATGGTAATTGGAATTTGGTTAAGTTTTAGAATATAAATGCTTCAAGCGATACAAGGCCTAAGAAATACAATTTTTCAAATGCCCAAATAGCATTATTTTACTTGTGTTATAATTGATAGATTTTTTTAAAATCTAATTTAGTGTTGTAAGCTGTAAAGCAAGAACAAAGTTTTTATTGCCTCAGCTGGACGTTCTGTTGAATCATTTAAAGTAATAAGGAAAACCCCAATATGAAATATATGCTTGTGGTCCACATTCAATGCCAATTAAATAATTCATTATAGAATTTGAAAAGTGGGACTGTGCTTAGCCACAAAATATTAAAATAAGTTTCTAACCTATGAAGCAGAGAACTACAGGTCATTTTTAATGCAGACACTCCCTGCTTCAGAGGCAAATCCTGGAATAAAAATATGAGAAAGTAAATGAGAAAAGAGCTGCTGATTATTCCAGATACCAATTATAAAATGAGAAATAAATAGAAAAAAATATTATCAACTGAATTGGGGCAAAATGGAACTGGTACCGTCACTATGACTGATTGTAAAATCGATGAGAATAAAGGTAAAAAAGGTTTGATTTGGAGCATGCTTGGTTGTAGAAGATAAACAGGTTAACGACTGAAAATCTCCAGAAGTTAGAAACAGCACTTCAAAACCATGAGAGATAAAAGGGCTGGCTACAAGACATCTATTTCCTATAAAGTTTTATGTGCTCAGAAATTGGCTGTTGCTGCCCATTTACTCTCTTTTAAGGGCTTAATAGAAACTCTAAAACTATTTCCTAATATGATAGTAAATCTGGTTGTCTGATGCCTAACAAAAAAAAAAATACACAGGAAACTTTCTTGAACATCAGAATTCCTATAAAAACATTTTAAAATAAAATCATTTATCAATTATGCCTAGCAAAAAAGATTTAAATAGATCTTTTCAGACTGTGCAGCAACTAGTGGTAGTGTGAAAAATAGTCTACTTCAGTTTTTAAAAGCATAACTTCAGGTCATACTAACACTGCTTGGGCTGGAAGCTACGTACAAATACTGTTTTACCATGTACAAGATATAATTGTACACATAAATAAAAATTGGTAATGTGTCAAACAACTAAATTTAATTTTTATCTACAACCACTTATGCCAGTCTTTAAACTGTGCAATAAAAATTTAAACTGCAATATATACCATTACTGAAATTACAATATTTGTGTCAAACATAAAGATTTAAAATGTAAGACAGTCGATGTTTAGATAATCAAAACCCAAATGCCAGAGATCAATTTTTAGTTAAAAGCATGTATCGAAACATGTAAGCTACTTGACACTATAATCACTCACAACTGTTCACTGTGGTCAAGGCTGAAGAGCACAGTAATGTTAGCCACCAAGAGTATAATCTATATAACACACAATGATTTGCCCCAACAACCATAAGTCAAAGGACCTAAAGGGATAGATGATACCAGTTCCATTTTTGAGTTTGTATCCTTGTCAAATGCAGTAGCTGAAATTAGAAAATTCAGTCACTTTGAAACTGCATTCCAATTTAAAGAAAAATTAATCAATTTTGTATCATGCACCAATGCAATGTTTTCTTAGTAAATAAATATTTTTAAGGATTTGTAAAACTACAAAATCTAGATGCTAATGTCAGTGACAGTTTAGGAGCTGATTTGTAGCCACTTTGGGTTTAAATAGAAAGTTTTGTTTTTGAAAAATGCTTATTTCAAACAAAATAAGAAAGATACATCTAACGTTCCTCTATCTGTTCCAACTATTGGCAAAAATGAAACTAAAATTTGCATCTATGTGTGTGCCTATATTCTTAATTTTCAGAGAAATACAAGTAGGCAGCATGCAATATTTGCAGCAGAACACACAAAGCATGCAGCACAAATACTGTGAACCTGTATTTCTACGGAGCAGTTTCCTCTACCCATCCTTTGTGAATCTAAGTCTGATGCACACAAGAATGTAGAAAAGGGGTGGTATCTCAGGGATCCCTGTCCATAACAGATCTAGAGTTTATGTGCAAAGCCTAAATGAGGTCAACAGCAAAAGCGGGTGGTTGTGATATGATGTATTTGTTTTGTATTGATCAGGGTTTCTGACTCACAGCTCTTATAACTCTAGTATAACTTCCCAAGTGGACAAGAGCAGTAAAAGTATCTTTGGTTAAAAATGTGACTTTCTGTTGGGCATGGTGGCACATGCCTTTAGTCTCAGAGGCAGGCAGATCTCTGTGTGTTCAAGGCCAGCCTGGTCTATATAGTGAGTTCTAAGCCAGCTGGGGCTACAGGTAGACCGTCTCAAAAAGAACAACAAAAAAAATGTGGCCTTCTGATTTAGAGTGATAAAAGATGAAAAACAGTCTATTTATTTTTATTTTATGTGTATGAGTGTATTGCCTGCATGTATGCGAGTGCACCCATGTCGTACAATGCCACAGAGGTCAGAAGAGGGCTTCGGATTCCCCTGGAACTGGAGTTAAGGACAGTTCATAGCCGCCATGTGGGTGTTGGGAATCGAACCCGGGTCCTCTGCAAGAGCAGTCAGTGCTCTTAACTGCTGAGCCATCTCTCCAGCCCCATTCTTTCTATTTATAACAAGTACCTTTCAACTAAGTCTGAGATTGTATTAATAAGATGATTTGGGAGGAAGCTGCTAAATAGCCACAGGATGAGGGGCTGGCTGGTTGCTGTGAGAATTACATGCTTAAAGTGTTAGAACTTAGAGACTCATCCTCCTATTAGCAGGGAGAGACAGGGGCTGAAAGTTAAGTTGATCAACAACAGTCAATGATTTAATCAATCTGAAGCCTCTACAAAAATTAAAGCAGACTCAATTCAGGTGTCCAGGAAGGTGAACAAGGACACACTCATGTGCTAAGACAGAGGCACAGCCAAGCTCCCACTGGAAGCTGAAGTTTCTCTGCTCAGAACCCTTCTAGACCTTGTCTTCTGTTTCCTCATGGGCCTACTCACCTCTCTGCTTGAAAATGCTCTACACTAAACCAGTAAATGTGTCTGCAGTTCTAGGAGTTGCTGCTCTAGCAAATAAATTGAACTCAAGGAAGAGATCATGGGAATTCAATTACAGTCAAAGTCAAAACTTGATATGAATATTGAATTATGTCAAGTTAAATTGGCAAACATGAATTGAAGGGGAAAAAAAGGATTACTATTCAAAATGCTTAGACTATAAATTGTTATAGTAGCAGTAACTACTTGCTCCTTCCCCAAAGAGTGCTATAACACTCCTTCCTAAAACAATATATAAAACAAACTACTTATTTGCGTATTGAACTTACCAAGAATAAAAATATCCTTAGTATTACTTCACTAAAATATAAAGAAATAAAAATAATGAAATCAAGGACATTTTATATTTCTAAGTACTAACTTGTCAATTTCAAGCATCCCAGAAAACCAATAATATTTCTGGGACTACTACAAATATCATTAAGATACCTACGAATATCTTTTAGCCAAAATCATATAATCAGTAAATTAAATAGCAAGAAACACCTTGACATTCTTTTTTAAAAACTTTATTATTATTGTGCATGTATATGATGTATATATGTGCATGCCAGACAACAGAGCACAACTTTGTGGAATCAAGTTCTCTTCTTCCACCTTCACATAGGGGCTCTGGGGATCAAATTCAGTTCCTCATTGCACAGCAACTACTTTATCTACAGTGCCATTTTGCCAGCCTTTAACTGGTATTCTATAGTATTGAAGTGATAAGAAACTCCTGTACATTTTTAATTTTTATTTATTTTATGTATATGAGTGTATGGCCTGCATATACGTAAGTGCACCCATGTCATACAGTACCCACGGAGGTCAGAAGAGGGCATCTGATCCCATGGAACTGGAGTTATGGACAGTTGTTAGCTACCATGTGGGTTCTGGGTTTCGAACCCAGGTCCTCTGCAAGAGCCGCCAGTGCTCTTAATAGGTGAGCATCTTGTTTGTGTTTGTTGTTTAAGAGAGGGTCTCACTATGTAACTGACTGGCCTTGCACTCACTATGTAGCCCAGGTTGGCCTTGAATTTACTGTATCTTCTTCAGCCTTCTGAGTGCTGGGATTGTAGGATGGTGTATTACCATCCTGGCCTTGTATATCCATTTTTTTATCTATAAGTTCCTGTGAACAAAATATGGTAACTATTTCCCTGACCTTGTTTTTGGTGTTAGGTTTTTATCATTATCTGTTAATAATGTTGTTTCTTTTAAACTGCTGCATATTAAAAATACAGAAACACCAACAAAAAAATGTTTTAATAAATGCTTTTATTTCTTCACTGAGCAAAACAGTTATAATGTATTTCCATGATACTTCATAATTTTACTTTTTCCTTGAGTTTCTTATGTATCCTTTATAAAGTTGGAAGTTCTTAAATTTTTCTTAAAATTATTTTCTCATCTATGTATTATGTTAATATATTTTTAGTGATTTTTTTCTTTTGTGATTTATTTTTTAACTTAGCTTAGTTGACATAAACAAACTTCATTTTTCCACAACATTTTATGTTACCAGAGAGAATACCACAAACCAAAAGGAAACTGACATTTTAACCTACACTATACTAGTGAAAATCTGTTACCTTGGAATCGATTAATTTTCAAATTTAAAAACAAAGAGAAACACTATACCTATAGTGTCCTATATTTTAGTCTAATAATTCCATTCTTTGCAAGCTAAATGTCACTCAAGATGGCTGAATTTGAATTGTACATATGGCTTCCTTTTATTGAAAGTAATGTTTATTTTGTTACACTTATTTATTCGTGTGTGTGTGTGAGTGTGTGTATGTGTACACATGCATGTCCTGTGCTATAGCACACATGTGGAGAGCAGAGAGTGACTTGCGGGTCTGTTCACCATGGGGGTCCCAGGGATCCAACTCAGGTTGTTGGGCTTGGTGGCAAATGTGTTTGCCAGCTGAGCCATCTTGATGGCCCTATATGCCTTCTTTTAATTGATAGAAGAGAGTTAAGAATACAGCTTAAGGCTGAATGTGGTGGTACACGACTTTAACCCCAGTACTGGGAAGGCAGAGGCACGCAGATCTTTGTGAGTTCAAGGCTAACCTGCTTTACATAGTGAGTTCTAGGCCAGGCATAGCTACACAGTTAGATTATATCTCAAAAAACAAACAAAAAACCCCAATAATACTGCTTAGTGCAGAGCATTTGCCTACCAGGCATAAGGCCCTGGGTTCACTTGCCAGCAACACAAAAAGAAGAATTGATGGAATCACTAAAGCCCATTATAACTAGTCGAAGTAGTTGGGATTTAAAAAAAAAGGCAGACAATATGCCAGAATATACAAGTATCTCCAACTTAATGGGGGAAAAAATGTATTAAGCCTGTAATTATTTTATGTATCTC